TTGTTCGCCGAGCTTGGCAATTGTATTGCAAACGTTTCATCACCAATCGAGGTGACATTCTCAATCCACGAGGACCGAGAAAGACACGACTTCGATTTCGAAAACATCAAAGTCGTCGATCTGGCGCTCGCCAAGCACGCAAGAGAATTTCTGGAAGCTTGGCATTCGTCGGGAAACTCGGTCAACCGACACATCGACATCGATCAAGTCTACACCCCCATGCAACAAAAGACCAATCAACACAAAGGTGGGTCGTGTCACACGTGACACGACAGGACAACAGTAACGCTTAGACTGATCGATCAACGGCCAGCCGTCAAACTGCTCGCGTCCACCTCATCCCCTATCAGCACAAGGCGAACAAACCTTGGCCAATCAGGCAACGCCACATCACTCAAAGACTTATATAAAGAAGAGAACACTCGTAAGCGCTCACCCAGTTACTGCCTTGAGAATGTCACCTCGATTGGTGATGAAACGTTTGCAATACAATTGCCAAGCTCGGCGAACAACTGAACATGTATATGGTATATTGTTTGCCTCCATCCCACAAAGCACTCTGAACTCCATAAGGCTTTCCTTATTTAGGAGTTCCACTCATAGTTACATCACTGATATGTAATCAGCTCATTGCTGCTGTTTCGCTACAATAATGGTGCGTTCTGTTATTCTTTCACGGGTACCGTGGGGGGGGGGTGAAGGATAATGCCGTACAGAAGTCACCTATATCCACTATCCTTTGCGACTACCCTTACCCTACAGAATCCGATGCAGTCATGTTTCTGCAATCCTTTTAAAACAGTCACACGAACACTACAATCCACTTCTACGACTTGTATATTGTTCGATTTATTATATATAGCACTGTGTTATATAGGTTGGTAAAGCACTGAACGCAGATTTGTTTGCCACAGTTTATCGTCCTATGAACCCATCACATATCGTTCGAATGAAGTGCATTTAACTTAAAGATCGAGGTTGCATCGAAAATTAATGTTGATGTTAACTTAGAACTGCGAGCGTTAGTTTAAGTGTTTCAACTTGTTCAGTTTATTGTTTAGCGCCCATACACTCTTAAGAACTGAGGCATGATAACAAGTGATTTCGCTCAATGACCTAATCGCTAACCCACATTGGCCTCATGACTAACCTCAACAAAAGTTCATATCGGTATCCTAGCAACAAGAGTATTATGATCACTGATTATGATGGAGAGATTTGGCCCTAATCCTGTGAAACTGAATCAATACGAATGGGAATTACCCTCCTAAACTGCAACAAAAAAGGAGGATACCAAAACAGAAAGTTGTGCAGATAAGATCACTTTGCCTCCTCGAAAAGCATGGTTGCATAAAACAAACAGGATAGAATCGTACCGCTTTTTCAGTATGGACAAGAATACGTTAGAGAAAATGCCCCCTTGAAAGCCCGAATAAATACCGATAGTGTTCAAGGTATCCTTAGCTAAGTGAATTCTCGGACTACAGAAAACGTTGAGCGACTCACCGGCGGATGCAAACTGAACTAATCACTAACACGCTCGATCCGAAAAACAGAAACACCGTCTGCCGACAAACAAAAGAAGCAAGTGAGGTGGAGAACGCACGTTATCAAGTTCTCTGGGCTTACAAAAATCTTCAGGAATGACAAAGGACGATCAAAAGGAAACCGATAGACAGGAGGGACTACAAAATCGTCAGTCACAGCGCACATCCATGAAATGGCACATGCTACCACATGCGTCGGTAGCTAAAAACGGATGAGCGACGCGACATGCATATATGCACAAAATATGAAATCAGTATGATACCAAGTCTGTACGCTCACACGCACAAGTGTTAAACAGGCAGTAGTGAATTCGGATGATTCTTAGAATCGGATTACATTCTACATCAAATAAGTCAGCGCAATGAAATGGATATAAAGAAAAGATGGAAGGGACAAGGAGTTCGAACGATAAACAAGGAGAGTTTCTAAACAGAGACACAAATGTGTGAAAAAAGATCTGAGGGGAATGAGTAGAGATCCATAAATGAAAAGAATACTATGACAACGATCTGGGTGGGAAAAACTGACTGGAGGATTAAACTCAACTGAGGTAAGGAGAGGGAATATTGGCATTGGTATGTTTTCTGTGTGTGCTCACAACAGTCGCACACGACGACAAACGGACATCGAATGAATTGAGTCGTGGAAGCAGGTCAATTGTGGTCACCGATCACTGCGGAGAAATGGGTAATTTAATCGATGGCCGGACGAAGAGAAAAAATGAACGGGCGCACATTGAGCGATCAAATGCACGAAATTTGGGATGACAGGCAGCATCGGGTACAGACACACACTTGCGGAGTTGTGAAAAAAGAAAGCAAGGTAAGGGGCGCGAAAAGTGACGATTTGCAAATAACAGCAATGAAAATTAGATACCAAAATGCTTTACACAACCGCACGGTTAATTGAATTTGTCTTTCGCGGTGCTTCAACTGCCTGCTCATTGGCGGACACATAAATGGATAGAAATGACGAAGAAAAGTGCTCGACAGATGTGTCATATTGGCAGGTAATTGCGAAGCAAAGGAAAGATAACAAAAGAGTGAACGGATATCACATGCATCCGATGGTCCCTCACACGGCATTAAGTACGTTAGTGACGGTCACCTATGGCTTGTTTGGCTCTACATGTGCGGTATAACAGGTGCGTATGAAAAGTTGGCCACGATTAACTGAAGGGCTCGCGTAAGGACGGATGCTTGTATGGGCAAAATAATCACAATGCACTGCTTAATACAACCGACCGGACGAAATCGAACAGCTAATAAATTTCTGGACACATGGACCAGTCTTGTGACGCTTTGGCGTTCCAGTATTTGCCATTGAAAGTGAAAACTGCTTCACCCGTATCTTGATCAAATTGACGTTCAAACCACAGAGGCCGATGCGCACTGTCCGCTTGATCGACTGGGAAAATGAAAAAGGATGATGGATTAATTTTAAAAGACACATGAAAAAAGAACAATGAAAATAGTGTAAGAGACGTGACCCATTATGTGTGAAGTCAAATTAAGTCAAATGCCAGCTTTAATCTACCAACAGGTTAACATCGTGGTGAATGTACGATGTGTATATCGATCATATTAAAACAGTAAAAATGAAGGAGAAAAAGCCACGAAAAATATATAACGACTTTAGGGTGTTCTTTTGGGCATAACCCGGGCGAAGGTCTGTTGTGTCCACGTTTTATCGTTTGCATTTATTTTTTGAGTGATAGTAACCACAACTAATAAAGTACGAGGTCAGTAGTAGCCCATAGTACATACTGCACATATATACATATATTTTTCACACCGACTTGAGGACAAGCGTAGTGTCAATGCTATGATAAAATGCAGCAAAGGGTAAGGATTGATGAAAGTAAAATGGGGAAAACATATAACAGGAAGAACACTTGAATAAATGAACAAATTCTTTGTTAGTTTAACAGCAGAAATTTTTTAAGTCTTTTTGTCCCTAATGGAGAGCGGGGTTTCGACAAACAAATAGCACAACAATCCCGCCGCTGACTTCTATTCTGGGCCATATCTTTCAGCGTCTCTATTCAACGACAAAACTCATCCCTTGGGCATCAAACAGGGAGGCGGACTGCAGCAACCGAAGCCCAAACTGGAGCCAGCTTCTTTATACCTCTACGCCATGTCATGGTCGGACCGCCGCAACGCTTCTTCCAGCCTTGCCCGGCAGGCTCAAGCAGAGCACGGAAAGGTAGTCGATGGGCAGCCACACGCAATATGTGGCCAAGACATCGGAAACGGTGTAGAGCGATTACTTCTCTTAGAGAACGACTATCCACACCCAATATACGACGACGAACATCATCATTGCTCACCCATCATCATTGTACTCACCAGACACGAGTAATGCTTCAGAGACATCGGTGGTCGAATACAGAAATTCGATTATCATCCGCAACGCGGAGGGGCCAGGTTTCGCAACCGCAAAGCAGGACTCGGTGATGTACATCCTTCTCATAACGGACAAAAGGGTTTCAGGGCGGTGCCACATGTTTCGCACGTTAACGAAAGCAGCTCTAGCTTTCGCTATTCGTCATGTGATCT